CTCAACTAATTTGTGTGCATGCGAGGCTATTGGCTAAGCTGAATTCTCTTGTGCGGAGGGCGTATGACGTCTATTACTAGCACAGTCTATACATACAGGGGACATCAGTCTACCCGACTCTTCTAAACTATCTACACTGACCTAATCCACTACAATATGCTAAGCCTCTTCTAAATTTCTATCATTAATTGGATGAGATATGAAATCCATCTTAACTAGACGAATCTTAGCTTAGTCTTATATTACAAATGCCTCTTACATTTCAGACCATTGCATCATGGTTGACATATTTTCTCCTAAACCCCTTACTATTAAGATGCTAAAGATAACTCTTTTTCTTCTTCAATTACAACACGTCCATAAAAAATCAATTGGAAACCTAGACAAAAGCTCTTCTTTTTAATAAATGAATGTTTATATATGAAATATCAATATTAGTCGCATTTCAATATTTTGTTTCCCACTCATTTCGAATCTACAAATAATTTCTTTTCTATATTAATCTCATTATTTCATTATAAATAAAGATTACTGATTCTGATAAAAAACTAAACTACAAAGTATAAACAACTACTAAAACTTATATAACTAACTTAGTCCTTCCAACCAGCTTTAAAATACCAGTGCTGTACTAGAAGATCGGAGGCACTTGCTCCCCTGTGTGCCCCAAATATCTCCCTCACACAAGTCTTTTAAGATCTTGGACCTACTCTTGATAAATATAATACAACAAATGAGCAAGCCTATTACGTTTTAGTAGGCCTAAATTATTGGTGCAAAAAACTGTGATAGGATCCAAGAATAAAGACAAAAATCATTAGTATTCTAAGCTCAAACCTCATCCACTAAGCAATAAACACTAACTAGACTATAAATTCTACATCAAGGGTAGGGTGATTCAATTGGGGAGAAGGGTGCACTACACCACTATTTATAGTAAATAGTAAGACAGATAAAGCATGAATTATCACTACACTACAAACTGGCTAAAGGCACTGAAAGAGACATGTGAAAATAAAAACTAAATTCCTACAACCATTCAAGAATTTTCATCCTGGTAATTAAAAACTTGGAGAAAATTTTTTTAATAAATTTGTTATCGAACAAAACAGCAAAGCAAGTAGTAAAAGTAAAAATTGGAAGCATAAATTTGAATATTAGAATGACTTTGTAAAATAAATTTTATAGGTTAATATGTTCACAGGGAAATGGATATTGAGCTCGTAAAATATTTTGAAAAATTAGGACTAAGGTATTTTATATTCTGGGTTAAATATTTATTTTGATATTTGCACAAATATTATATGTAAAGGCTAGACATTATATAAATGATGATGATGAAGCAATGTTGATGCATGATGTATTTTATCATTTCGAAAAATTTGATTTCAATGATGGTTTAAATTGCATACTGGAACAGATACCTTGGCCTCGCAATTCTCGCCACATGGATTGAAGTTTTATATTTTTTTTTTTGAAAAATTATTTTTCTTTCTGAAAACATGCAGCAAAGTAAAAAAATAAAAATAAATTGTAAGGATAAAAAGTTGTATGCCAGTTATTGGATCGGCGAAATGTAAATCAAATTTAAATGCATTCTTGCGCATGTACAGAGTTTTATGTGTGATTATGAATACAAACATAAACTTTATGTTTGAAGGACTGTTGTAAGTGTATTGGTTATTATGTGACACGAACACTAAGGTTGTGTGTTTGTGCGTTTGTATGTGTTTATGTGAATTAATTATGTGTGTGTTTATGTGCATACATGTATTAGTTTGGTACAAGAGCTAAACTCATCTGTTTAATACAAAGATTCAGCTTCTATAGTATTGTATCTGAATTCTATTATTTAATGTATTGTCTTCCTGGAAATAGAGCACACATATAAAATGATAATAAATATATGTATGTATATGCATTCATTGGTATGCTTATTCATATTGATTATATAGTAAAAACATATATGTAAACATATGTACTCAGCATTGGTACAGTAATAGGCATATATTGTTCAATTATAATTTAGTTAATAATGATTGTTAAAGGCCTATGTTGCTTTGGCTTACTTTGATAAAATACCTCTTGAAATGTATTTATTATATTTAATAATTTTGAGAACTTAACTAATTTGATATTTTTACTTTCACTTACAAGATTTTGTATTATATTTATTATTGTCTTGCTCTGTGTGCATTGAATAACTTCAACCGGATGGAATATGTACAAAAATATTGAAATCAAATTTGAGTAGCTTACATTAATATAAACACCAGGAAAATATATAATATTGTGTGTGTTTATAAACACATGTATTATACATTAATATTCATGAATGGGTATTTTTATAAACAGTGGCAATACAGTTCACTTTATACCCTGAAATTAATAAGATTAAACATTTTCTTTGTGTTAGTTTCAAAAATATACCTTTGAAGCAACATTGATCATATTTTGAAAGAATCTCGTATATAATATATAATTATCATTAAGATTCCAATACAAATTTGTAACATAGTAGAAAACCTTTGTTAAATATTTGGTGATGAATATATTTTTGCAATAAGCAGTGTAACATGATAAAACCATCCAATGAAAGCATAGACGGGAGCTAGAGAACCAAAACGAACACTTACAATGTTTGCCCAACATTCATGTTAGCAATTTCACTTTCAAGTTAGTGCAACAAAAATCATTTTGAGTAAAAAAACACAATTCAATCTTAAATTTTTTTCACATGCACTATTCATCTTCATTCCAAATAAATGTTAATATATTTTATAAGTAACAATTTGAATGTGAATAAAATTCTATTTGCTGAAGATAACTAAAAATTTTGATTTTTCCTATACTGTTTTTTTCTTCCATCTGCAGAAATTTCCAAAATTTTTGATATTAAATATGTTCTTTTTGGCTTTGCTCTCTAGGCCCTGCCTATCACTTACCATGGTAAGGCATAGGCCCATACACACCTCTCAGCATTGCTCTTCCCCTTGCCATTTGTTGAGGGAGCATAACCTCTTTCGGCTGGGCCTTCTTCGTCTCAACCTATTGAACAAAAAAAAAATTAAAAAAATTAAAAAAAAACTATGATTAGCTCTTCTTCTTAAGAATATTTCAATTGTTACTACAGATCTAAAGATATACAAGTATGATCCACGATACAAGAAAATGAAGGCCTACTGTAATAGGAGAAAATTTCACATTAAATTTTTGATATTTGTAGCGTGTGAAGGAAAGACTACGACATCCATCGTTCTTTTTATATTATAATAATGTAATGAACAATGAATATTTTATACGAAATGGTTCAAGTCCCATACCATCTTGACAACTTTGATGAAAATATTTAATGGTGAAATAATGACAGGTGAATCATTTCATATAATATCTAATTTATATTTCAGAGTTCAAAATATTATCCACAATGGAGATGTATTTCATGACATTTTTTCAGCAGAAGGCTTTTGAATGTAGGTCTGGTTCTCACCCTAATAAAACCAACAAGCATCTAGAGGGAGTTACAAGATTCTAACTTTACACTATCTAACAACAGCACCTTTAATCATATATCCACTCAGCGATATTTCACAAGGAACAACTGAGGCAATGTGTCCAAATTCCCTGCAGCGTTGCCATAAATTCTATCGTTTTTGTTTGTATTAAAGGTACCATTTCATCAACGAGATAATTGAAACCGGCACCGATAGTATGATAAATACTCTTATCCAGATGAATATTATAATCATTTTCATAAAGCTTGGCCTAATTTCTTGATTCCATCTTCAATCAAGACAAGAGTGGGAAAATCAGTATAACACATGGTTTTTAATCGGCCGACGGAGGCCAATAAATCTAGGCTGAGTTGTTCGCTTTATACTTGCTGAGTGACATTTAAATGGTAAAGGCACGTAAAAGGAGGCCACCTCGGCATACTCTCGGTACCTCTAGCCATCGGCAACCGACACCATGAATATGTACTGTGCGCTATATGATGCAACGTTTCCTCACTAACTATTTGTCATTGCCACTTGTTTTATTGGCTTAACATTAATGACAGATCAGAGAATTTTGGTTAGTGTTATATTATAACAGCAGAATCGATACATCAACTATCCTACTCGAATTCGCCCCAGGAAATACAAGTCTTTAACAGGTGTATGGGTATAATTTTTCTAGCTTTTACCATAAATCTTCTTATCCAGATAAAAAAAACATTTACACATATATTTGTGTAAATAAACTTTCTTAATATACATTCAAGTTAATTATATTAATTTAAATTTTCTTCTACATTTCTCGTATACCTTGTTTTGGAGTAAAAAAAGAATTATTCTCTAGAAATACTGTAATTATAATATAATTTTTCTGAGAATTCAATATTAATATTGGAGTCCACCAAAGTGGTATGTTCTGAAAGATGGAACCACCAAAGGATATTGGATTGGAATGGATACAACAACTTGGACTTCATCAACCCTGATGGAATGGATGAGTCAGTAGAGGAATGACTTAATGATAGAATAAATAGTTGTATGAATGAATACAGTAAGTGTTGGTTGAATTGGTAAATGAATTTAATGTTTTAATGAATGAGCATTTAGATGAATGAGAGAATGAGAATAGCAGGCGAAAGGATGAATGGATAAATAAACTAGGGGATGGATGATTACGTTTAAGATTGAGGATGGATGGCCCATGTGGGTGAATCCATGAGTTACTGAACGTATATGTGAATGTATGTTTAGAATGGTCAATCAATTTATAAGTGTGAGCATTAAGTGTTTAAAAAGATTAGTGTTTGGATGAATGTAACGAATGAATGAGCATTTGTAAAAGAGTGAATTAATTGAGTATAAAATAAATAAATGAATGTATTTCAATGAACCGATGAATGATGCTCAGATGACATGAATGAATGAAAAATTATGTGGATGAATGGGTAAATGAGTAAGTATTTAGATAAATTTTTGAATAGCATGTGGATAAATGAATGAATATGAATTTGGATAAATTGATGAATGAGTTAATTAGTTGGATAAATGGAAAAATAATTGAAATGTTTGAATGGATAGATGGATAAATGTGTGGCTAAATGAAGGAATTAAAGAGCATATAGACGAAGGAATGCCGAAAATTAGTTTATGAAAGAATATTTGGATAAATGGGTGAGTGCCTGGCCAGATCAATGATGGCGTGCTAACCATTTTGTTGTTAAGTTCATGAAATTGTTGTTCACAGATCTTCTCTACAGATTCTTCTTTCTCAAACGTTACAAAACCGAAACCTGAAAGACATAATAAATAACTTGGTTTAGATCATTAAAATGTATATTTAAAAGTCTAGAAATAAAATAAATTTATCAAACAAAATGAAGACATAAGGACGAAACAAATTTTTTTTATCGTGTGAACAGCAAAACATCTGACAAACAATATTTACTCCTTATATCATTAATCAAACACAACATGTCTGATATAAAATATGCAGTTACTTCTACTATTAATATTCTCCATCATGCTATCATCAGACATATTGCCATAGCTCATGTAAACAAAGTCCACCAAAGCTTCAAATCTTGAGGAAAATCAAATCATGAAAACAAAAAACATGTTCTAAGAATTTCCAGGTTAAATAAGAATTATGTTGGATTATTTATGAAATAAAGGATGACGTTAAGAAGATGCATTATCCATGTTTGTTGTTCTGTTCGTGCTTAGCAACAAACACTAATGCAGTAATGAAATTATATTGAGGGTGTGGTCTTTTAGCTTGTGTGTTAGTTATTATAAAATTTATAACTGATGGGCCATGGATTACCAGTCAATAAGAACTGCATATAAATGAGATAATCTATGTAAAAGACTGACCGTATGAACAGTCAGATTTGTGTCCGTCAGACACAAAAATCAATACCTAATAGTTCATCAGTGATGGATCCCGGAGTCATAGTGAAAGGGGTGCTCCCCTCTGATAGCACCCACAAATTCCCTAACCGATAAGACAAGAGGTTTAAATGGCTCCAAAGCCTCAATCTATATAAGGGTACACCCAAAACCCATCCCTATGGACCAAGGGTTTCTTGACTGGAACTGACACCTCCCTGGCCAAAAAAAAATCATAGATCCTGGGGCTACTGTTTCAGCCTAGCTTTAGCCATATTACACATTATCAAACGTATTTGATCATACATTATCTGAAAGACTATCAGTTGTTATATTGTTGCTTAAGTAAGACCTGCTGAAACCTAACACCAATGTGTAATTATTTTCAATTAAGCATCCAAAAACCTCTTATGCTTACTGGAGTAGAAAAACTTTACTACACATTAGGAAATCAGATTTATCTAACCTAGTTTAATTCATGCTTAAGTAATATGTAATCAATTATTAAATTCAAGAATTATTATTTTATTGAGTCAATATAATATTTTAAAGAGGTACCAGCAATTTACTCTTTATTCATATTAATATTTTTGTTAAAGTTCATTTTTAAAATATTTATTTATTTAACCAACTTTGAACATTTTGATATCATTTTTTTTTTACTTCCTTTACAAATTACATCTAATATTAAGTACACTTGCCGCTTAGAGGATGGAATAATGCTTTATAAACCAAGTCTGTTATTGAGGCCTAGGGAGCAAAACTGTTTTAGCCGTGAGAAAAAATGCTTAGCTGTCACAGGAAATGAACCCAGGACCCTGGTATTGGAAGGTAAGCATCTTAACCACTAAGCTATTCAACTCCACTTGGAAGCAAGTTTTCCACCAGGATTTCCATGGGGAAAATAGGATTTATCAACAAACATAGTTGCATTAGTATTTAGGCCTATGCCGGGTTTAAACATAAGGATACATACTACTTAGGAGGATGAATACATTTCTGTAAAATTTCATGCAAGGCTTGAATGAAAAGAGGCATTCAAAAACGAAAAAATATCACAATATTGTGAAACTTTTAAGAATGTTATAGTTACTATTTAAAAAATCTCCTGTCTGATTTCATTGAGATTAGAGAAAGGAGTATTTAAACTGCAGTATTATTGTTACTAGCTCTCATGTAACACTTGAACTAACTATATTTACACTGATCCACTTTAAAAAAGGCATTCTTTAATGCTTCAATCCAAACCGTAAATGAATACTCATGATTGAAATGGGAAAAAAAAAATGTATACTATCTATTTATTGAAAATAAAAAAAATTGATTTTAGTTTTATATTAATTTCAAGTCATAAAAATATATTTAAGATTTAAGTACAAATTTGTTATTTTAATGAGCAAAAGAAAAATATAACATTTTTAAAGCCTTTTACTGTATGTGATTATTTTGTCTTGCTACTTGAAAAATTATTGACTGCTAAAGTTAAAAGGATGGTAGAATTGAGAGCTTCTAGCAATTTTCAACAACAGCAGGTTCAGTGTACTATGCAACTCAATCCCAGCATTCAATCGTCTTTCGATTCGTGAATGCCACTAAGAAGGGACTGAAGCTAATGAGCCACGGACAAAACAACTTTTACCTTCAAACCGCTACAGGCATACCAAGAAAATCATATTTGTGCCGGCTCAGCCTGCCTAGCATGTGGTTATAATAGAATCAAGTAGCATTTGGCGAAACATGCTTCACTCTAATTATGTAATACTAGAAGCAAGTTGCATTAATTGATGAGTAAAGAGGGTCAATTTATAAAGTTTATTTCTCCATGAAGAAAAAATATATGTAGATAAAATTCTTTTCTAGGCCATAGCTAAGGATAGCGGCAGACCTGAGCAGCACGGAGAATTAATTCTGTACAACACTCCCACATACAACCACTCTACTAATTAATGCCTATTATACTAAGATATTCTACGTTAGCCTTCATTAGCACCAGGCTAATCAAATTAATTAGTAATTATCATAACGACATTTAACTGTTTACTGCACACCCACAGAATAACATTATTGTAAAATGATGATTGTGGGGAGATGTTTTACATCCCCTTTCCCATCCTCTTCTGTGCAGTCTTTCATAATAATAATATTTATATAGCACTTTATGAAATTGCAGATCTTTCTGGGCACGTTACATTATGCCTTAACAATGGTGAAAAACAATAAGCAACGAGTAGTAAAGTGTGTCTTGCTAGGTCGTACATGACATGCATGTGGCAATCTTTTTGAAAGGAAAATAAAAACTACCGGTAACGTAATCCTATTCTTTTTTTTCAGTAAATCCAAATGAGAAATTTATTGTTTTTGATCCTTTCAAGTACCAATTTGTAATAATACAAATTTTTAAGTGGAAAATTGCCATTTTCATTTTGTGCATAATTGACAGGTGCCAGCTAAATTAACATAACATAAAGAGAAGACAGGTGGATATTTTTAATTGGGTCTTCAAATTCAAGCCTGGCCTTGGGCAAAAAAAATGTAAAAGTAAATATCACCATGGATACACAACACCACATCATGTCCCTTTTGTGGGATTTTTTGATGATGAGCAGGCTGTAAGTGGGGCCCCGGAGGTATCTCAGTTGGTGAGAATCTCATTAATGGTAGTTCATAGCAGTCTGGGTCATATCTTGTTAACGTACCTTGTTAAGCAGTTTTACCCCTCCGGTTGTCAGTAAAGCATTATTGGGAGATTAATAACCACCTAGTCGCAATGACCTCCAGATTAAATGCTTCAGTTTTAAACAAAGAACTCTCATCTATGACCTTCTACCATTGACTGGCTACTATTAATGTTGTTGTCATTGTCCTGGTTTTAAATACTTGTACAAATATCAATTAGTTAAGCTATGTTCTGATGGTCATTCGCTATCCTGTTAAGTAATGAGAAATCCCGCCAAGGTTACAACTCATCCTATTGTACAATACGTGATTCTATTGCAAATGGAGAGTTCTGTTATTCTTTTCTATTGAACTCATAATGATTTAATTAGATTGATGATGGCAAAACAGAAATCAGATAATATTGAACATTGTTTTGGCTAAGTTTTTTAAAGGTAAGGTCCTACCTAGGCCCATAGGCCAGGCCTATCATGATGGATTACGGGCGAGTATCTAGAGGTATACCTTGATAATTGAGATACTTGCCTACCAATCTAAGGTAAATGTCTGCTTAAGAATCTTTGCCTATGTAGTACTTTGGCAAAGCATTGACAAACAGTGATTCGTATAGATTGATTACTGATTACTGATATATCCTAATTTTTTATTCTAATCTTCCCTCGCCCCCTGAATTTTTAACTTTTTGAAATATGCTAAACAAAATTTAAAAAAATATATCTTGCCGTTTATAAGTGGAGCTTTTAAAAGAATTTAAACAATGTCTTAACAATGTTCACAATGCGTATGTTAAAGTTCATTAGCTTATGAGGTGTGGTAGCCTTTCTGTCAGTCTAAACTGACGTCAATGGAGCTATTTTTAATGTTCTTGATAGTAAGCCAACCATTTTAAAAAGTGCATGAACAAATCATAATGAAAATATGGGACTAGAAGCGTCTATTCTGAGTTATACATAAAACTGAAAAATAAACATCCAAATATGAATAACTTTATAAATTTAGTTAATTCCAATGAAAAATTAGTAGAGAAAAAAATAGGGTCTTTGAAATTAGGACTCTTAAATCTGCTAGTTAAACCAATTTAAGAATTATAGTAGTTTGAAATCTGAAAATTGTTTTACTTATTTGATCCATAATTAATTTTTCTTCTTCTCTGTTGTTGTTAAGCGCCTCGAGGTTGTGTCAACGTGAGGCGCTATATAAATCCAGAATTATTATTATTTATTATTATATTAAGATCCATATAATATTAAGAAATTATTATTATATTAAATGACCAAAAGGATTAAATATATTGTTACTTCACCATGGAAACCTTGAAACAATATTTAATATTTTTATTGAATTTTTTGATGTTCACAGATTTTTTATAATATATAATAATAATAATAATATAATATAGTATAAAATAATATAGTTATAATATAGTTATGGTCGTGCACAGAAATCTCTTACTACCGGGTTAGCCAAAAATATAAAAATACCCATCAGAGTTATGAGACACCGGAAGAAAACGAATAGAAGGTATTGTACTAAACACTGTTTCATCTGTGTGGGTAATGTCTGACAATACAAATCCTTTCCTATTTAATATCAATTATTTCCTGTTTATACCTATATATCCGCTAAAGAATAGCACTGTGCTATAATAACACTCAACTTTCACCCACATCTTTCTCTAAATTAAACTCTGTACTCCACAATTCAATTAAATGTATTTTTTTTTACT